CTGCTGAATTTGGACAGGGCATTAAAAAATTGAAAACAGTTTTTTAAGGAGGTAAACTAATTATCATAACTCTGCCTACAAGATGCAGTAAAAGCCCTAGGTGCTTTTGAAAAGCCATGTTCATTAGAGTTCAGGGAAAGACACTGAAAAGTGGAAATTTTAGTAGTTGAACGATATGTGTTTATGTAGAAACAGAGGGGTAAGGGTGCCCCTGATCTGAGGAAAACAAATTCTACCTCTTCAGTTATGTTTTATGCTTAGGAACTTTTTGTCAAAACGGTTATTGATAAATGAATTAAGACACCCTCGCTTCCCAGTTCATGAAAATAAGTAGACGTTAACTCTGGCTAGAGATGCAGGCTATAGAAGATAAACGTTTCCATATCATTGCGTTATGCATCATGTTATCTACATTCACAGTTGAGCACAGATGAATAGTGAAAACACCATCATTTCCATTTCTGTCCCCCTTTTACTCATGTGCTTATAAATGTGAGAAATTTGAGTAGGTGGTTGGTAAAGTGGAATATTCAATAACGTAATTTATCTGCTCTGTTCTGTACTATCAGCATTCCCCTTAGCATAAATTAAAAATGGGAATGTCATGTCTAGTTTTTTCCATCTTCTTAATACTGGTTTGTATATTCAAAATGTAGAACAACTCTCTAGTCACCTTACTTTAATTAATTGTTATTAAAGTGATTTCTGCCATGTAACTAAAAATATTGACTTTTCCTAAGATTAGCCCTTAAAAAAAAATTGTTTTTGAGAAAAAGAATTAGTGCTGACCGTACTGTGATTTGTGATTCATAATTAACACAGCTGAAGGTACTGTAGTCACCACATCGAAGAATAACAAGACAGTTTCTTGAGAGTGGAAGATTAATGCAAGAATAAAGGCTAATAAGCTGGTTTTTAAAAAATGATTATCTTTTTAAGATTAAAATTTGCATTTAGCAGTTATGTATATTTAGAAGCTTGCTAAAGAAGGGGGAATAGGAAAGGGTTTGTTAAATTAGTAGTTTTTATTTCTTTGGTATACTGATGGAGTGTCTTAATTCAGTTTTTTTTAATAGGGCTGATAATTTCTTTGAACAGAGTATATTTGTATGGGTTTATTTTCTTAAATATGTTTCATTCAGAGCAGGGGCAAATAGTTGACACCTGTGCTATTAATTCATAGTAAAAGAGCAAATGAAGAAGACCTAGTTGCTGAAAGTTGGAAAAGTAAAGCGTTTATCTTTTTTCTTATCTAAATTCCTAGATTTGTGCACTTAGTCCTTTTAGTATTTTGGGGGTTAGGATGACTGGGGCCTGGTGGAAGCACAGTGACACTGAGAACTGTGGCAGCCTTTCTTAACCAAGTCTCCGTAGAGAATGGAGCCCTAATGTCTTAGGGCATCTATTGTATGCAGTTAATTAATTTTTTTCTCCTGTGCATTTAGAATGTTTCTAGTTGTGTATCTTTCTTAGGAAATTTAAGAAAACAGTCATTCACATAATCTTGTGTTTGGTAATTCAGATGAGGAACCCCAGTTGAGAAAGTTTGGAAGAGGATCACAAATTACTTTTTCTTATTAAATGATGGGAACAGATCAAAGTGCCAGTACCTTAAATCCTAATTAAGACAGGAAGATGGAATACACTTAGGTGAAAAAGCATCTTTCCAGCAGCATTTGCTTTAATGAGATTTTTACCTGTATTTCAGTGGATGGGCTCATTAGGGAAACTTAATAGAAGCATGTTTGTCATCATCCTGAGATTTAGGAAACCAGGTGATGAATCTTATTATTTTAAAATCTAGGCTTTATTATACTCCGTGTTGAGTTAATTTTTTACTATCTATTATAGTATTAATGTGTTTATTCAGTTACAAGTTGTACAGATGTTTGGGCATTATGAAGTAACTCCATCTGAAAATTGAGAAAAGGGATATTTCTAAATTAGTGGAAAGTTATTTCTGTAAGTTTATAAAACTTATTTTAATTGATGTTTGTACTGTTACTGTCTCCTAATAGGGAAATATGGTGCTAATAATATTCAAAATTATCTTTCCTTTAGAGGGTGTCATGTAATTTATAGAAAAGGAAAACCTAAACAATACCACTTTCTAAAAAAAAAAATTTAGAAGTCTGACAAGTTGAATTGTTACTAGTTCTGTCATAATGAATTACCAAATTAAATGAGGTTTTCTGTGTTGGTTTATGTTTTTCTCTCTTTGGGACATGTATTTTGGCTATATTCGCTCTTATTTAGTTCCCTCTAGAGAACCAGAAGAGAGGTGCTTAATTCACATATTTCAGTTTACAGAGATTTCCTAGAACTTCTTAGAACTGAATTATTGTATATCAGAATATGATTATAAAACATGTAGGAGTTTTTAGGTCAAGTAGGTTTTTCTTTTTGTTGTTATTTTCAGAGTGCTGAGTTTAATACTATTACAGTGAACAAAAGCCTTTTCTTTATCACGTTTGTTCTAAAACAGGTCTTTAAGGGAATAGTCTAATATTTAAAAGACTTGGTATCTTAGAGAGGATTTTTTTGGCTCTATTGTGTGTCTACATTTTTTCCACTATCAAGTTGCTAAATGTTCATAAAATCAATTATATGCGTGGTAAAATAGTGTTTAATGATCCAGCAAGGATGGCAGAGGTAAATTGGACTATAAAATTATACCAGTCAATGGAGTTCATTTCTAGAGAAACCATGTGGGCTTCTCTTACATCCATGAGTTTGGAAGTAAAAAGGTGAAATGAATTAATCTAGACAATTTACTGATGGTACTGGGTTGCTTTTGGCCTCCTCCTAATTGATTGGCTTGAGTTTCTTTGGGCATGTTGTGCCTATGAGTATTTCAGTCATCTGATTGTAATTCAGGTGCCTCCTGTTACTTAGGAAACATGCTTCCTTTTATTGAAGGAGTTTAGGTTATCACTTAAAACGATATGTTAAATAAAATTTGTACTTTTGGCAGACTTATTTCTCTTAATCTTCAAGATGGATGTGGGTTTTCAGGTGTTAGATTATCTCCATTAATTAACTGTATTGAATTGTACTCAGTCACTACTTCTTACCAGTATCTAGTGCTAAAATGTTTGAACTGGGGATATTGTGATTAATCTACTTTCTATTCCTGAACGTTCTTTTATTCAATTGAAGGCTTTTATGGGGTGGTAGAAGAGAAATGTCTGCTGCTTCTTAAGAAAAATGACTCTTCTAACCACTATCCCGTCACCAACCACCCCCCCCCCCCAAAAAAAAAGCAGCCCACAAGAACTCTGATGGTTAATGTTTCTCACTTGTAATCTCACATAACCTTTAAACACTCTAGGGAGATACCTTGTGTTGTATGCTTTGTTATGCTAAGGTGTGGACCCTGCCATGGAAGTCTTTGCTTTGGGAGTATTTTGAGTTTTCTTGACTGCAAGGTGGAAGGTGTGCCAGAGGGAGGAGTGGTTTGTGTTGCACTGGGCATCTGATATGAGAGCTTCCTGACCTAAGTACTTTTGATGCCTTGCTGTCCACGTAGCCAGAAAGAGCTCTGTTGTTTTACTCACAGGTAGTGTCTACAGCAGGTCCTCCGTCTGCCTCCAATTTGATTGCTTTGCCTGGTAACAATTGAGTAGGTTCTTATTTATTTTCTGGTTGCCAATACCACTAATTAGATACCAGTTTTTTTCAGTTTATTATTTATCTTGTTTTTGTAAGAATTGCCTTAATGTTATACTTACTGTATATACTGGGTATATGTACAGCCAGGTATTTTAGCAAATGAGTTAGAAAAGTATAGGAACTGCTTTTTGTAGCACAGTACCTCCTAAATGTTTTAATTTTGCATGTATGTACTGGACTGGTGTTATCAATGAATTGAATTTGTTCTACGCTTATTTAAGTGTTTAGAAATTGGGGCAGACATGCCCTTTGTATGAAAAAAGTGTTCAGAAATACCTTAGGTTTGATAGTATTCAGTTGCGGATAGTTTTCTGTGCTGCTTATTAAATTACTACAAATTTAGCTGCCTAAAGCAACACATCTTTATGATCTCACAGTTTCTATGAGTTAGGAGTCTGGGTGCAGCTTAGCTTGGGTCCTTGGCAAGACTGCAATCAAGGTATTGGCCAGGACTGGGTTGTTTATCTAGAGTCTGGGCCGGGGAAGGGTCTGCTTTCAAGCTCCCTCCCTCAGGTTGCTGGCAGAATTCATTTCATCATGGTTGTTAAGCTCTTGCCAACTTGCTTCTTCAAAGCCAGCAAAGGAGAGACTAGCAAGATGGGCTGGTGCTACACTCTTATGTAAATATGTACATGTAAT